CACCAAGCAACGGAACGTGAAATTCAAGTTAGTCCTATTAGGTAGCGCAGTTGCTTGCACAAAGCCCATGCCGCATACGTTTCTTCCCGAGCCGCTAAATCAGCTCTTGTTTTCCCCCACTCCGACAGTCATTTGTTGCTTGATCTCAAATCCACTCCTTAACAATGCCTACTCATTTGTATGTACAGATCGGGAGCTCATATTTCATGACATCATTGAGACATTTCAATAGCTTTCATGCTATAGTTCTCCAGCGCCTACCAACAAGGGGGCATGACTCATGCCTCGTTACAGCGAGTCACGTCATCTCGATGTCAAAGTATGTTAAAGTAGCAGCAAGTTACATCGACTTACGCTAATGTCTTCCCGCACTCGTATTGAGTGCGGAAATCACAGGGGGAAATGACATGTCAAACAGACTGAAGCGAAGATACATTAACTGCAACATTACATTTGAAAAAAAAAATGACAACGCATTCCGTGATTATTGTATCGTAATGCCAACCCCGTTGAGAAAACTTTATTTCATACTCGTTACCACTGGAAGTTTCAAATGAAAGGAACTTAAACACTGCACACAACATGATTTAATTGAGGCAGCGAGGCGTACAGAACTCTACGCTATTCCAAGTCACACAATACAGAAAAACTGAAAGCCCTGATTACACGACATGCGTTTGGCAGGGCCAGCAGGTAACCGCGACTTCACTTGCTACTACTCTACAAGTACCCCACAATGCGCGGTGAAAGGCCTCGAACATGCTCTAAAGGTCACGTGGCGACCATTCAACAGAGCACAACCGTTCCGAGCCTCTCCTGCCGAGATGCACAGGAAGCCCGGTCACCACAAGTGACACGCCATCTGCAGCAGCGTTTGTCACACAAAGGTAATCCAGTAGCCTTCAATGAAGTGTCACTGAACCCAGTTTACAGCATCAAGACACCTACATACGTTGATAGGAGAAGAAGAAGAAGAGGAAAGAAAGACGTAAAGACTCGTCGCGTGAACCTTAACGAAGTATCATACATGCTCTGTTCATGCGAGTACCACAAAGCTACACCAGTGCTCCTGTTGATTTCAGCTTCATGTTGACTGCAAACACGGAGCCACGTAGAAAAAGGCAACGGCACGTTGCACATAAGGATACTCTGCCCGAGCACCCCAAGTTTCACACCAATAGGGAAATATTTGACGTGCATTTGATCGAATCAAGCGATACAAAAAAAAAAAAAAACGACCGAGAAAACACAAACGGTACGGAGATGTACCGCGATTACGCAGCTGCACTGAGCGCTCAACTTAGCTTTCGTTTGGGGGCATTCCTGCATTGCCACGCCTTATATATAACGAAAATATACATCCTAATCTGCTCTAAACGGCCTTCGGTTATTATCTCGTCCCCTGGCACGCCGAAATCTCATCACAAGAGCCTGTCCCACTTGCGCCGGAAACAAGTTCCGGACAACGCAATGGTGAATAGGCAGCAAACAAAAAATCGTGCAAAAGGAACGTCTGCATGATGCACTCGTTTTAAACACACACACACACACAAATATATATATATATATATATATATATATATATATATATATATATATATATATATATATATATATATATATATATATATATAACAGGCCGTTGCCACATGTGATCGGCGAAATTAACGGATCAAGTTTGCGCCAGCGGAATTCCTCGAGTGCAGTACAGAGGGATGGGGAAAAAAAAAAAAAGGAGTCGAAACACGGACTCCAACTCACAACGCGCCAGCAGAGATCACGAATTTGTAGTCGCACAGGCGAACGCACACATCTGCCAACCTGCACCGCTCGTGATTCGCGTGCATGCAACGGCAATGCAGAGCGGTAAGTGACCCGTGACACCGCTTCTCTCACGACTACTGGACGTCGCTGCGTAAACCTGGCAGCGAGTCTCCGTCAACACAACTTTTTCTCGGCGATGTAACTTTCCGAAATGTCAGAACCATCACGTTAGTTTTCAGATGTTAGTAGTAAGCAGGACAACAAGCGCAGAAAGTAAAGTTCCACCGAGCCCACGCGCTTATAGAGTTCGAAAATTTAGGCACTCGTACTCCGTCCGGCACGGATCGCACGAGCCCATCAACAGTCTTCAATTAAGCCGATTCGCTGCTCGCACTTAGCTGCACGAAGTGCGTGAAAGTACAGCTCTCTGCACCGAGGCTAGGAGTCATTTGATCTACATTTACTGCCGTGCAATTATGGGTCAGGTTAGCAGATCAATGACCACGATGTTTTTCAAATCCTAAAAGAAGCAAAACTACGCGCGGAGACTACTTCTTTTCTAATCGCAAGCAACTTACCGAGTCACTCCGTCCTCTTCTTCTCCATATGTTCGGCGCAATCCACAACGTGTTTCACAAGAAACGGCACTCACACGACTCAACAGTAGGTCTAACGAACTCGGCCGCGTACTCTGTGCTGCCAACCAGCCAGCCTGCTTCGCTCCGCGGGTTGGCCGCCATGACAGATACAGCAGCGCCGCCCCGCCCTGGGCGTCGGCAGCTGCATACGCGACCAGCGCCGCGATTGCCCGAAGTATTAACAGGGGCGCGCATTTCAAACCTTCGCGTAAAGCATTCTCGCGAGTCATTCGATTACAGTAGCTTCCGATCGCGTTCTGGGTTCTCATCGCGTATATACGGTGAGTCAAGTCTTTGAGCACATGCACATACACCTATAAAGCTTTAAACTTTCGTCAGAATCAAAGCATGGATCTTTTTTCCAACTGCCTCATCATTTTTCTGCGGGCCGAGTCTGCTGATACTACCCATCTAAATGTTAACAGCGCATAGAAGGTTTAGAAAGGGACGAGACAATACAGCAAAAAGAAGGCAGACTTTTTGTGGGTTGACGCTTGGGCAGGTAGGTGTGGATTTGAAATGAATCCACACCAACCTAAGTGTCAACCCTTTCAAAATACCACACAATCGATAAACAGTGGAATCCACTCTGTGACGGTACTGCGTTGGTACCAGTGCAACCTAGTGGAGCTAGGTTTCGGTTAGCCTTTAATTTCAATGGCGTGCGAACAGACCCTACAAGCTCACAAATGCCTAATTGGGCTTGTTCTTAGTAAAAATCTCCAAATTCAACGCTCCCGCTATGCCTAAAGTCTCAATTTGGGCCGCTGAATTACGTGCTCAATGTATGCTATAACCACGTGAATAAAACATGCCAGAGAAAACATCGATAAAAATGTCTAATTCGGAAGTTAGCAGCAGAAATATTAAGGGAAATGTAAATATGACTGCGGTGAAAGACACCACGCCTATCTCTCAAGAAAAGTACAGAGGTACACTTAGCCAAGGGTACATGTAAATCCAAAATAATCGCAAGGGGAGACTCACGTCTTGCCAAGGTGGTCATGTTGTTTTTACAAATATAGGTTTAGATTCAATTGTATAAAGATTAAATCATGCTTTTAAAATAAAAATAAAAGGCGAGAATGGGTCTCAGCACCAGGTCAAGAGCTTAAGCTAACCGCACTGAGTAGCCTATAGCATAAAGGTACTATGGTGAAATAAGTCACTAAAAGTGTGGCTCGCGGTCAGGCTCTAGTAGATTATGTCACTGTTTATAGCATGTGTATCACTCTAGTAAATGTATCACTCAACTTAAAAGATCGAGTGAAAATGTTAGCACTTGCTTGTTATTATTCGGTTCAGCTTTAGCTTCAGCTCAAGATCCATTCTTCATGATGCATAACTGTTATAAATAGCCTCCCACAATAACTTGCTTGCAAAGCATGCTTATGTTTTCCAGTGATATTTTTTTTTGTTTTTTAGGTCACATAACTATAGTCCAACAATGAAATTCAAACTTCATTGTCAATGGCTTTGGATAAACCACCGGCATAGATAAATAACAGTAGATGACTGGAGATCCTCCATTTACTTGGCATTTTGAAATCAAGCATAATAACCTTGCGCATCACCAGAAGTAACCCAGTGACAGTTCAGAAAGCTCAGGCTTTGTAGTGCTTTTAAACCGAATTAAAGACCTTACTTCAGTACTTTGTTTTTGCTCTCTGGAAGGACTTCAGATTTCAGTCAGTTTTACAGAGAGTGTGCTACATTTAGTAGTCAAGCAGCTCAAATATGGTGCTCGAAATTGAAATTTTGAAGGGGTATATTTGGAAAGTGTGTGTGTTCCCCCTAGCCTGAATATAATGGTGGTCAGGACACCATGACCCCCACTTTTCTTGTGATTTACGCCACTGCAGTTGACCATTACCATTAGTTCCTCTGATGCTTTCTATACCTTTGTTGTAATCTTCTTAACTATGATGTCACTGACAAAAATGGAACCTTGAATCCCCACACTCTCACAAACCCCATAGGTTCAGTTTTGCAACAGCAAAGAGCTCTCGATTCGTTCCTTTACAGTATGGAACAAGGCATAACCAACTATGGCCCCCCCGTCACCTCTTGTTTAAGGCGAGGCACCACAGTTCTGTGTGGTGGCATCTAGGGCTTACTTATCAAGACATCCCTACGAATATTCCCATTCTTCCTACGTCCAATGCAACACTACCAGCCACGACAGTACCTCACGCTGCGAAGTCTGGCACTTGTGATTTCATATTCTACAAAGTTGATTAGATCAAATTCCTAAATCTTGCACCAAGTATGCAAATTTCGAGCAGTGCTGCAGGGATGAAAGCAGATGCTACATTCAAAAAGTAAGAGTAAATTTTAGGCCTAGTCGATCTTGTGTCACAAACAGAAGTGAAATAAATACAGAACTTCAGAGGATGATTAAAGCATGAACAGATGAAAAGTTCGTGAACACTGGGTGCAACTTTGAAGGCTGCAATGCCGAGTTGCATGTAGCTTTAAAGGAAAGAGGACTGCTTGCGAAAACGTTGCTCCAGCAACATCTTATGTTCATAAAGTTTTTATCTCACTCAGAAATAAAGTATTGACCATTTTGTATACAAGATGAGCAAACACAAACAGTTTATCAATAAATATTTTATTGGATCCTTTTAATTGCACCCATTATTGCAATGACTTTGAAGTCCCAATCCACACCAGCATTGGACCAACATAGAGGGTTTATCCAAGCTGATTTTTTTTTGTATTTGAATGTGAACGAAACTCCTAACAATGCATCTGGCGGCACACTTAAATGTTTTAGGTGCAAAGAGCCAGAGTGATAGTAACTACCTCAACTATTATTAATGCTGCACAGAAATTGCATGGTTAGAACATTGCAGAGCTGCTGTGTGAGCAGCCCTCGAAAATTGCCTGTCACCATGTATTGAGCTTAAGTCCCCCATAAACTCAAGTCTGCATTGGCTGCAAGTCTGTTAGACATGCAAGTTAGCTACAAACAGAGGGAATTTTCAATATTAACAGTTTTCAGCTGGACGACAACTGACAGTGATAGAAACAAAGAAACAGAAAAAGCTCTCGGTTTCTTGTCAGTAGATACATAGTGGCCAACAACACGGGAGTTCTTTGGCCAGCGGTTTTACAAGAAAGATTGGTCAAAAGGCATGGTACGTCTACAAAATGACATTAGGTAGTAGCAACTGTACACAAACTTCCAGTAAGAGCTAGCAATAAGGTCTTTCCAATTCTTTATACAAACCTTTCGACTACGCATCATTTGCCTGTTTTTTTTTCTCTCATCTTCTCTCTATTTACACAACAAGAGCAGCAGAGAGGCTGGGAATGGTTTGCATCGGCAACATGTATGCCTGAAACTAACAGAGCAACAAACTGACAGCTTATGCACACAGCAACATACAATGACTACGATGTAGCTTCACGGTGTCTCTTGAGTGGAAATTAATACAATAGAAGCTTTATATAGCAGAACCTGAATACAATAATCATTCTGAATCTAACAAAACTAATCTGAATTTTTTCAAAGCTGATATCAGCAGATTGAGAACCTATATCAATGCAGAGGATAAAATGTAAATATTTTTCTTTTAAATCCATATATTAATGTACCATCAGGTGTCATTCAATGTTGTTTACTTCACAGATGCTATTCTGATTCAATGATTTCATGCTGCTTCTAGAAGGCTGCACATGTTAGTTGAGTTGGCTTCCAAATGTTGGCTTCCAGTCTCAATCAAGTAGTTTTAGTGCAGCACACTTGAAGGGACAGAATACCACAAAATACCAAGTGCTACAAAGCAGATCACAGTGTATGCAGACTTTTTAAATGTGTTATTCGTCGTGGTCATCTTGCGCACAACTAAACAACATATAGAAATTAAATGTACCTAAACACTTATGGTACCTTCACAGCTGAGTAGGTGCTACCTAACATAAACACTTGCACAAATACTGCAAAACTCAAGTGCATCGTGACAAACCTGCGAGACAAGACAGTTGTTCGTCTAGTTGGTGCAAACATCATATGAAATTAGCATAGCTACAATGACAAGCACATGAAAGGCAGCAGGACAAATGCATGCTCTCAGTTATCTTTGGAAAAAAAAAATGCATGCAACAAATATGCAATAGCATTCATGTTCAACACAGCAAAAATAAATGAGCCAGACCTAGCAGTGCTTCAGTATATTTGGTCAACACAGGTAAAATAATGGTGAACACACTGGCACCAGCTATAGTGAACCTTACTGGAAATTTTAAATGGCCACTGGAAAAGAGTTGTAACTGTAATGAAAACAATTATGCAAACTGGCTTTGCAATGAAGTTCTGGGAATTTGAGATACAGATTCAGAGCTCCTTTTTGATGTACCACTCTAGGAGGACGACTGTTTTGCCTACTCGTGAAGAGTTCCCGGATAAAGAGTAAAACAATATTCACTTTGGAGCAAGGATTACTAGTGATTCAGTGACGGAGATCCTTGTCTTTCAAAAAAGTAATTTTCATTTGATAACTTCTAGGCGCCATTGGTATCTTCACTTAATAGCTTTTCTGATGGCTGGCAAGAGATAAGACAAAATCTTTATCACATGGTTTTGCTGTGGTACCATTTTCTATGCCCTGTGAGTTGTAGTTTGCCCCTGAATGCCCCAGTGGCAACAAATGTACTGCCAACCTTACAAACTTCCAGAACACACCTAAAAAGGATGACTACTGCTAGATGAAGTTGCCAGAAAATTTTGGATTTTTTTTTATAGTTCTCTCTATATACCAATGTTACTACCAAATAACCACTTCGAAATGACATATGTCACCTTATGTAGGCAGACAGACGGTCAAAAACTACAGGATTTCGCAAGTCACGGCTTGCATCAAATGTATAGCTAAACGCTAGTCTGAAGGTGGGCAGATACTAGATAATGTGGCGCAATCATTCAACGCTGTAAATGCCAGAAAATGGCAAACGAAATCTAGTCACTTCGGTTGCAAACTATACACATTTGAAAGGCGGGAATACATTGCAAATTTTGTGGGAACTTGAACCAATATATCCGACACAGGTTTTTCAACTGACAAGTCTAATGTTGCATCTGGATGCTCAGAGACATCAAATGTTTACCATATTCTTTCGTGCAACATCTCGCCTATCTATAAAACAACTCGTGGACTGCAACATTTGTCAAAATCCCACGGACATGACACTGCGGACGCTTGTTTATGGGTGGAAGAGATAGTGTGCACTTTTTGAAGCCCAAGTTCTAGCAAACAATAAAAGAGCTTTGAAAGCCGATTCTGACGGTGCTACGCAAATTCTAAATGAGGCAGGTGCTGCACAGAAAGACGGGACCCAGTGTATCAGCAAGCCACAAGTAGAGTAATCCAGTGAGTTATCATTTACTGTCCACCCTTTTTAGACTTGGTCATCATTTTGCTTGCCTTTGATCTTGCTTCTCAGACATGAGAACCTTCTGCTAAATGTTGAATGCATCATTCTACAAACAAAATTTTAAAGAGCTTACACTTATCCTATCATTGTTCTTGAGTTTGTTACATTCAGGCACAATTTTTTTTTCTCGGTATGCTGTACCAACTTAAAAACTCTTCTTATGTAGAATATTAAGATGTATAATCTTCCCATTAAGTAACAATAACATATATGAATAGCACTCATAAAACTGAGTTTAGACAGTAAGTAACTGTTGATGCTGATTCCCACACAAGTGACCAACATATATCTTCCTGGCCATTGAAAGATCCTTAGATTACTCAAACAACATTCTTCTCTGAATGAAAAAAAAGTAAACACATTTTACAAGAACAATGATGATATTGTCATCTATGCAGTCCACAACAAATCTACATGACTTAGGTCATTATTAATTGACTTTCACTTTCAAGGGATTGCTTTATAAAATTTAAGAACACGGCTGTGTTCATGGCGAAACATATTTAAAAATTCTTCATACTTCTCGTCCAAAATTAATAGCCCAAATTAATTCTCTTTCTTTGTTGGCCTAATGCAGGTTTCATGCGGACATTACGATTCCTATACCATGTGGCAACATTGCACAGAGGTTTGGCCTCAACACTCGGTAACAAGGCACAAATAAAACAAGTTTGCAAAAGAGCAATGACAAAGCAGAACCAGCCCAGCAGATTTTAAAGCATTATCAAGGACTCTTTAAACAGAACTAGATTTGCTCGTAAATTCTGGTAGCTAAAGGTTGCTAAAAAAAATGCGAACATAAAATTTGAACATAGGCGTTCATCAGTTTTGGCATATGCCATGAAGTCTGTTGCTCTGTCACTGTCGATTTAACCATTCTCAATTCAGAAGAGTTTATAAACAGTCATAATGTAGCTTTCACTTACCCATTCATCCACACTACTTGCTACAGTGAGGGTTGTATTGCATATGCCCTTTGCTAGTATGGCTCGGATCAAACTTACATTTTTTTTCACTTAGTTTACTGCTCTAATGGGCTTTCCCACACTGCCTTGGACTGTATCACAAAAGGAAGAAAAACTGTACAAAATCACAAAAAGAATTCACGAACGCAATGAAGAAACATATGTTCAATGCCACATGGTTATTTCCACACTATCCTAATGTTAACGTGATAATTCCCATTCGCTTACTTAATTCAGCAAAGCAAATAAGAATGTATGTCCAATAGAAGATACATCTTTGTCCTCATTGTCAGTCATATTAACTGACACTAAAACAACAAAAATCAAGCTAATCCACACCAAGAGGGCTCCTTTTGCATTCACATTTACAGACACACACACGTACCCCTGAGCACACACATACAAAAATGAAAACACAGGAAAGCTTATTCGGCATTCTTCTGAAACCACATAGCAATCTTCAGGTGAGGGGCCATATCAACAGGCTGGTTCACTACCATCAAAAAGAAGCCTTTCAGACTCAAATGGTGATCCCAAAGGGTGGCCATGGAAGAAAAAGGTTGGCCAGAGAGGACGCGACAAACGGCAGACCCATCTAATCAAGCCAAGTGCCCAGCACCCAGTCTCGAAAAGTTTGGTGCTGGTGCAACCGCTGTAACGGAGGGCAGGCACAGACAAGCACAGACACGCACAGAGGCACTGGCAGCGCCGCTAAACTGGCGGCAGGCTGTCCCGAGATCACAAGTTCATGCACGCCACGAGCCGCTGGCACAGCTCACTGTACTGAAGACTGTCGCCCGAAATTCGGCGCATCTTAAGGCCACACTCATCGGGGTGCGGTCCATCGCAGAGTTCCAGCTCGATCTGAACACCGGCTGCTGGGTGCTTGAGTGCCAGCCCGCGCTCTGACGGTTGTAGAACGAGTGGCAGCTCGGGCGCATGTGCATCCAAGCGCCGCTGGATGTCCAGCAGAAGGTCACCACCTGTGCCTCGACAGGGCGAGATGCCCCGACCAAGCAGGAGGCAAAGCGAACCGCTGGGACTTTTCTGAAGGAGGGCTTCGCCGCAGCATGCATGCAGCGGTGACGGCGGGAGTGCCCAGGCCGTTGCGGGCAGCTCGTCGAGAGGTGTCGCCTGCCAACGTACAGGCGAGTAGGCCAAGTCGAGGGGCAGCAGCGAGGCCTCCGAGTAGGCCGTCGCGGACGAGCATGACGAGGGAGATGTGGTGGACGACGAGGACGACGTCAGGACCTCCTTGCCTAGCTCGTCAGTCACGCTGATGTGTGGCGGGAAGCATCGGCCAATGCCCGGGAACGGCTCAAACACGGCAGGGCTGACCACGATCTCAGGCCGCAGGCCAGGCACTCGCAGCGGACCGCCACCGATGCCACCATTCTCAGTGGCGTCTTCACGGATCATGCCCAGATTGGGAAGGTTGGGAAACACTGGTGGAGGGCTGTTTCGCGCCAGCTGCTGGGCAACGAGGCTCTGTAGTCGGGGGTGGGCGGCATCCGAGAAAGGGGGTGGCGAAGCACCGGCTGCATTTTGTGGGGACGTACCGCCACAAGGGTATGGCGGCGACGCACTAGGAGACGTGCCTCCGGTGTCTAAAGGTGGCGACCCACCGGGACCCAGTGGATCCGGAGAATATGGATCAGGGCAGAAACCAACGGGGCTTCCCTGACGCTGCAGGTGAAGCCGCTGCAAGTGTTGTGACAGGGTGGCTGCGGGGCTTGGTGGCCCAGCTCCGTGTGATGGACTCTGGTGTATCGGTGAACCAGCTATAGAAGGTGGCGATGAAACTGACGAAGCCATCAAGGATGGCTGCAGGTGTGCCATCTGCTGAACATGCAGTGAATGTCGCCGCTGTATTTCAGCTTGCTGCTGGGCATCCATTGGACAGCAATGCCTCTGGAAAGTTGTCAACACAGATGTGCAGGTGTTTACATTTTTTTATACACTCATAGTACCAATAACTAACTCGATATACACAGAAGACAACTAGCCAAGTTAGTGCAAGTGCTGCAGGTTTCTTTGATTTGGAATATGTGTACAGTCAGTATCGAAGGAACAGTAAACGGCACTAGCACCAATTCATCTTTATTGCTGAAGCTGAACGTATCTTTATGAATAAAATTTACCATTCCAAACATTTTTGAGTTGGTATACACAGTTTTTATGTGACGTCACATCCAGGTTGCTTGACCTTTGTTTTGCAGCTGCCGCCATAGCAGGGCGCCTTCGAATAAGAATATCCTTAAGAATCCCATCCAATTTTTCTTACTGCAATTTCGCTTCGAAATATTCAAAAAATATTCTAGATATATACAAGAAGTATTCCTAAAACAGTGTATTCGAGTCACACTCATACTTCAATATTCGAGTTCACTTTGCACTCAAAATTTTGCTACTCGCACAGACCTATTCATAATCACTTATTGCTGCCAATGAGTTAAAACTCTATGAAACAAATAAAAGCTTAAGAGGCATTGGATGGTCACAATTACTTCATGAGTGTGTTTGTTATGCGTACAGCAGCGAAGCAGTTGTCACAATGTGCCATTGAGTGTGAACCAAGAGCAGATTAGAACAACTTCCTGCTAGTTAGCACATGCTTATGTTTAAGAAAGAAGTGATATAGTTTCCCTTTTTTTTTTACCTTGGGGAAAATGTTCTACACACAAACCACGGCAGTTCTACTGTAAATTCGCAAGGCATGCACAGAAGTGTACCCTTTTTTACCTTCTAGTGAGTGTGAGCATGAAGAAATTTAGAAGAATCGAGAGCATACATATCATAAAAATATATCTCAAGCTGAGTGCTTTAGCAGAAATTCGAATGACAATTAACATCCAACATATGCCCTTTGCACGAAAAAACAGCCCGTGAATAATTGTAAATGTGCAGACAATGCCCGTCTAGCTGTCAATCTATAAAGCCACAAATGAACAATTTAGAATACAGCTTGTTTGTTATGCGATTTATTTCTACATAAAGCACTCTCAGCATTTTCTGGAACCACCTTTACCTCTTATAGAGTAACAACCAGAGATGCAGAGATATTGTTTAAGTCTCCCCTATCAATGCGAGCCAGCCGAACGCATCGCCAATTTTTTGTGTACCTACATTCTCTCGCACTGTCGCTTTATCATTTTAGGCGAACAAAACATGTCGATGTCACACTATTTGTGAGTACACTTCCAACAATATTGCTTCTTCTATGACAGCTGAACTTACCACAAATCGGCACGGCTGTCCCACTTGGTAAAGCACAGAAAAATGTGTATGCACAAACTGACACAGAAGGTAGCCGAGGCCAGCAAGGAGCCTAGCTAAGGCGGCTGTGTTCAGCGAGAGTGGCTGCGGTGACGTGTTGTTACATCCGCGAAACTATGCACTGAATAGCCCCCCCCCCCCCCCCCGGCCAAACAAAGGGTGACAAAGAAATAAGCAATGTAGGTTTTGTCTATATTCTGCGTTTCTCTGATTTTACCCATGTTTCAAAGCACTGCCACAGTTACGAATGTACATGTGGTTACTTAACTACACCAACACTCCTCTGCTCACCAAATGTAAATACAAGCGTGTGCTGCATACAACACAACACAAATCTGTACCTGCAGCTGCTGACACTCCTGTTGAAGGGCCTTGATGATGCACTTGTGGTCACCAATGGTTTGATTGTAGATCCTCTCAAGCTGTGTCCGGTGGGGGCTAACTGAGGGGCAGCCGTCACTTGCTCTCCTGGGCACTGAAATGTACATCAATGCAAGCATGACCCAACAAATTTTAATTAAGGTTATCATTCAACATGCTATTGGGGCTCTATCCAGAGTGCATTGGAATTGAATGAATGTATGAAGCTGAATTTCTACTGAACAGTCGAACAGTGGAGGAGGGTGAAAAAAAAAAGGTAATGGAATAATGGCTTGAGAAACCTCAACCTTGTTATACAGCAGCGAAAGAGATGAGCAATGTGCTCGGTTGCGATGCCCAATGTTTCAAGATACGTCATGCTTGATTGCAACCAGTCGTCTCATGATAGTCTTCATCATGAGGTCTGAAGTGCTGATAAGCACAACCTTTTGGCGCAGTGAATGTCATATACAGCTGGTTCGAGACACGCTTCAGCGATGTTCACGACAAGCGTGGCGCACAATCGTAATCTGATTACTCAGGTTTCACTTACAGCTGCCAGACTGAAGTGTAAATATACTCTACATGATTGTTGACCCATGCACACAAAAAAAGGGCAAACACGTCACTAAGCGGCACAAATGTCGACAGCTCTGACCTCATGATGCGCAAGCCACAGACGGCGTTCTTTTACAGCGAGGATCGGACCAATGGCAAGGCTTTGCTGGAGCATCATGGCTGATGTGGCTAATCTCAGAATGAACGTCTCAGAATGAACTTCAAACACTCGCTTTTTGTAGGCTTGTTTCTGAATGGAGGACCTAGCTAAAGCTGGAAATTCATTGACGAAAAAATGCTCTAACGAGCTCAAAATGATGGAACACGTTTGCGCCGTAGCAGAGCTCCAACTTTTTTAGAACATAATTCAAAATATGTTAAGAGATCCTCTGCATTTTTTTTCTGTATTTTCACTTCAAAGTATTTGAAGATTATTCTAATTCAATTTGCACTCAAACTTTATTATTTGAATTTGCTTCACACCAAGATTTCACTATTTGCACACTTATAGTTTTATCGAATAAAGCAACCACAAACTTGAGCTGCCAGAACAAGTGGTGCCATCTAATGGCAGAATGTGCAACCAAGCGAATACACTGATAAGCAGCTGTGGTCTACTTCATCAAAGACAAATGGTGATTCTAGTCTACTTACAAATGCGTTGAAATAGCAGCTATCACTGACCAGAGCTCCGAAGAACATATGCAGGTTGCAACTTCACCCACAGGTATGATATGGCTGCTGTGGCATGGTCAACTTTTCCTGGAGTGTCTACTCTTTGGTGGTTTCACACTCCACCCTGGTGGGACTAACATATCTTGTGCGATTTCCCATTTTTTACCAACTTTTACACCATGCGATCCTTAATGACCAGCAGTTATCTTGCCTTCTCACTTCATGCCCTGTCCATGACCATTTCTTTTTGATTTCAACTATGATATCCTTAACACCCCTTTGTTACCCGATACATTCTGCTCTCTTCTTGTCCCTTAGTGTACCCATCATTTTCCTTTCCATTGCTAGCTGGGTCTGGCTAGCTGGGTCTGACTTTCCATTGCTAGCTGGGTCTGGGTTTGACTTGCAGAACATGGGAGAGGCCTTTGTCCTGCAGTGGGCGTAGTCAGGCTGATGATGATGACATCGTGCGTAGAAAGTACTGCTAGGTTGAGTTTCAGTTTCGTTTTTTTTTCCAATTATTTCAAATTATTTAGTAGTTTGCCAGGTGTTTCTACTGCTGGGCCTATCACAGGAGCGTCTCAAGAATATAGAAGCACCATTACTTTGACATGGTAAAAAAATCAGTGGAGTTGTCCCTCAAGCAACATTTTTGTACTATGCTTAATGCTTAATTTCTAGAGCACGTCTTCTAATGGTCTTCAATTGACAACAACTACCCAGCACATATTCAAGTAGGCTCTTACGTATATGGTGTTTTTCGGTGAAGAATGTTCTGGAAAATTACCCGTCCAAGTATGACAAGTTTGTGTAGAAGTACGCTGAGAGCCGTCACACTCGAGTGATAAAGCAGATGCTTAGGCACACTATTTAGGAAAACGAAAGTCAATTTTGTTTTTATATTGTTGAAATTCACCATTCCATTTTTCACAGATAATGTTTCACATACTTTAACAGTCTCAAACAGTTCATTGTTCTCTTAAAAATTTCCTTTTCTGAATGAACTATTTTTCCCCACAGAGCTTGACTCCTTCGAATCCAAAGTGCACCCAGTATGAAAGACAGCAAGATATAATACTTTAGCGTCAAAACCACAGATATCTAGGAAGTAAAAAAAATTGGCAGGTCCCACGAACAGTGGGAATTGATGATATGCGAAGCAGGAATGAGGAAGGTTGATATGACTCTAAAATCAGCACAATGTTACGAAGTGGAGGTAAATGATGTCGTACATGACTTACGTGCCATGATAATCATGTTCGGATGTGTCGTTTACCGTGGTCTATTCACGTCACGTGGTACCAAATTTAGTATATGTGGAGCTAGCGAAACGGCCGCGATCACGCTATCAGAATGGTATGTTGCCATTTTCTTAAATTACACGCGTGTCAGGATTATCATGTTTGCACCAGTCATATACTTTCGTCATCCATTGACGTCCTGGAACACCAAATTTGGTATATGTGGAGTTAGCGAAACGACCTCGAGCGCATCATGAAGGGCCCAATATAAAATGTAGCGTTAACACACATGCACGCTGGGCACAGCGGCGCTACGTTAGCGAAACGCAAGCACTCTATAGTCTGACGCCAGGCACGACCGGCGCGACCAGCGTCCGTAGGCGCGGCCCGACAGCAAACAGCGCAAAATGCGACGTGCTGCATTTCGCGTCAATGCGTTACCCAGACAGCACTGCGTCTCCCTCTTTTCGTGATGGAGGGACACCGGACGCCCTGAAACGCGCATGCGTCAGAGCAACGCAGTGCGGCGCGCGTCTGCTAGTATATGGCAAGACCGGCACCTGGCGTGGAAACACCGGCGTGATGCGACAAAATGAACGCTGACAAGCACGCGCACCGTGCCACGTCGAAATGCATTGGCGCCTTGACTGTGGTATGTAGTCATGTCCTCACATGACACGCATCTCATGATTATCTTGTTTGCACCAGTCACATACCTTCTTCATCCGTTGAAGTCACGTAATACAAAATTTGGCATATGTGAAGCTAGCGAAACGGACGCGAGCGCATCATTAGTGTGGCATGTAGTCATGTTGTTACACGACACGCATATCATGATAATTAAGTTTGGATGTGTCATTTACCTATGTCGACCGTTCGTGTCCCATAATACAGAGTTTGGTACATGTGAAGCTAGCGAAACGGCCGTGACCGCATCATGAGGGTAGCATATAGTTATGTTGTTACATGACATGCATCTCATGTTTATCATGTTTGCACCAGTATCACACCTTCGTCATCCATTCATGTCCCGTAATACCAAATTTGGTATAAGTGACGCTAGCGAAACGGCTGCGAGCACCTCACGAGCGTGGCATGTAGTCATGTTGTTACATGACACGCATGTCATAATTTTCATGTTAGGGTCAGTCGCTTGTGTTCGTCATGAAAACATGTCATACCATACCAGTTTTGCAACATGCCATGTGAACGAAACCACCACAAGAGCTGCAAGACCACGAAATGTTAATCATGACATTTAATGTCATGACTAGTCAAATATGTTCTTCATACAGTCATGTTATGCCATACCAAGTTTAGTATAAATACCAGTATTGGACCAGCCAGGAGAGCTAAAAGTCGTGGATGGACATACGGACGGACGGACAGACGAATGAATATATGAATGGATGGATCTGGCTTTTACAGTTTGTTGGTATTAAAATCTGGAATGTTATTCCTTTTGAAATAAAAATGTGTTCCGATTTCACTAAGGCACTAGAAAAACACTATTTAAAAGAATGTACTCATTTATTAATGTCCTGTCATAATTAGTCTGATGACTGTCTTGATTTCAGCTTGTAAGTAGGTGTTTATACCGTTTTCGTTCTCTCGTGCATTGTAACGGTTTAGTGCAGTTATTTCATGCACTGTAATGTTTCTTTGCAGATTCATTATTACATTAGATTGTAAAAGCTTTATTTAATTTTTTATTTATATTGTATAACTTCTTAGTTACACTTTTCCGAAGTGCCTTTATAAAATCTTTCTTTTTTGGACCCAAACTAGCCTATGGCTACGGTTCCACGCAGTGTATGCAAATTTTTTGTAAAAAGTGTGACCAATAAAATTCAAATTCAAACAGACAGACAAACAGACGGACGGACGGATGGACAGACAGATGGACGGACAGATAGATAGATACGCTCAATGTCGCCGAAGTTCGCTAAGAAACGCTTCACATATTAAAAAACTAGGTAGTCCGCGAGTGCACAGGAACTGTCATCGGCAGGAACCGGTATGTTCCACAGAAATTGGGCAAACCCCCCCCTCACCAGTACTAATACACTAAAAAGAGAAGAAGCAATGCGAGCATACACTACCTTCCTCAAGGGCCTGTATGCTTGCACTAGTTTCTCTACAGGTTTTCTCAGCTTATACGGCTGGGAACACTGTACCCCCCGTACCATATTCCCAGCCGTACAAATCATTCAAGTGCTCTTAGTATCCTCTTAATCAACACCACTAAACACGAATTTTGAAGCGTCAATCTCCTAGCTGTGGCCATAAAGGAATAAAAGGCTAAACAGAAGATACTTCAACAGATCCCAACTCATGATGAACACTAGGACTGCATTTTTCAGCTGATTTCTTAGCTTTACTGGTTAGCCATCGGTAGGTATGCTTGAGCAACGTTTCTTCTTTGCTCGTAGAAGCTCAGCGTAGAAGCTCAGCATTCAGTAAACATAGGCAGGCAGATGTTCAAAGCACCGATTCACATGCACGAATACTATTGGCCAGCTAAACAAAGCTGAATGTGAATGCTGGAATGTATTTCTACCTGGCTGTTTTTCCATGACGGTCAACAGACCAGACCTTCGTTGCCGAGGCTTCCACTGGGCATCCTGAACTTCCTCTGCGTTGCCCATGGCAACTGTATGCCTCCTGCCATGGCCTCGTGCTTGAAGATTCCTGCATAAGGAAAGCCGAAAATGTTGAACTTTCAGAGCATGCCAGCCAACAGCAAAGTTTTTAAAACTTTGCTAAGAGCTCCACAAAACCAGTTTTGACTAATAAAGTGCATATTCTTTCAACATTGTATTTGAGGCGATTCAAACTCTACAGCTGAACCCCTTTATAAGAGACATCCACTTGGGAACAATTGTTGTCCCTTATGAGGCGACTGTTACAAGAAGGGTACAGCCCTCTTTTTTTCTAATAAACTCTTATTTTAATATAGGCACACAAACAGAGCCTTCCCAGCTTTCTCTTACGTAAGCGTCTCTTATAGAGAAGATCAACTTTATCTTCGTGTTAAAAGGGCCTTGCAATGCTTTTCAATGTATTCATGAGTAGCTTCATTCAAGGTGTCTACCAATATGCTGTTTCGAAATTTTCTGACTTTTCCAGGTTTTCCATGATGATTTGAAGCAAATTCCATGACTTTTACATCTATTGCTTGGAAAGCTCTGTGCACTAGAAACAGACCCTCAAGTGACAGAAAAAAATCAGGTGCGCCTATAAAATAAGTAAATAAATGTACCACAAGTACTCGAAATGTTCCAAGCTGTAAATATGAAAAAATATGTATATTTGGCCAAAATGAAACCTCCGAGTGAGAGAGCAAGTAAGTTGCCTGTTTAATGTTTGGAAGAACCAGAAAACAAACACGCCAGTAAAGGGGAGATGCTACTCGAAGACACTTTTTCTTTAATATTCACCCTAGAGCAATGAAGCTTGAGCTGTTTATGGAACTTGTCATGCTGATTTCAAATATATAATTAGTTTTCTTGCAAGTTTCACACTTATAGCTCTGCAACATGACAAAGTGAAAACCTTAACCCTTTTGCCCCTCCACTTTTCATCCCTAAGATTCTGTAATTTTTTACCATTCATAGTTCGTAATGCATCAAATAAAGTGCAGAGTGCAAATACTAATTAGGAAGCACATACAAAATATGTAATACGCATGAAAAATAATAGACGTAAAAAGTCCATACTTCACCTACCCTAGTAAAGGCATACATACAATTTTTTTTATTATACAATAAAATATTGAAATTTAATCTAGATAGTTGCATTTGTCAGACTTTGGAAAAAAGTTGGGCAAAATTTCTTGCAGATCCGAGCACCATCAGTGCCCGAAAAAAGAGGGGCACATTGAAAAAAATGGCAAAATTTGTGTTTTGAGAAAAACGAGTTTTGAAGTTAAAATTGAGTTTTTATTTATGAAAGATATTATTAAATCAGATGAAATTTTCACCAAAAAGAACAATCCTTCTTGTAGTGGCCACTGCGACTAAAATACGCCAGCACCACGAGTTTGTCCTTCTTGGCGTCTTCGAGCCGACTCCAAACAGACATTTCGCTCACAGACAGGGCCATGAAACGCTTGCCAAACTTCCGCTCTATCTGGAAGAGCCTTGTGCCAACTGCACAGTAGGAAGAAGTTCGACAGGACTGCGAAATCTAAACTAAGTCCAGTGTCATGCCATTTTGCAGCCATGTTTGTGCCACATATCGTCGTACACAATGGCCATGTCGTCCCTGCTAAGTTCTCTCACTGTGAGCTCTTTCGACCTCTCAAGATTGGCGCTGACGTCATCCATTGCTACATCACGAACTTTCCGGCTGACGGGTGTGAACGACTTTGATGCATTGGCTTTTGCAAGCCAACAACTGCCGCAAATCGGACCAGCTGCTCGTAGCCTGTTCCTACAGAGCGCGCCGCACAAAGGCTTTTACTTGCGAGCAATGCCTTTTTTCATTCATAACGGAGATAATTACACGAGAAAAGCATTGTTCAGTTGCGCTGCTCGACAAGACATGGACCCCGCAAATACCGTATAAACCGGAATATAAGTCAAGATTTTTTCAATAAAATAATAAGCTAAAGTCGCCCCTCGTCTTATATAGCGGTGTCTAGCCGAAAGTTCGACGCTGTCTGGCAACATGTGGCTTGCATGTGCTTGTGAAGCCAGACGCGGCCATATCCGCATCCAAATCCAATCACAGTCTGTTTTTTTTTTTTTTTTTTTTTTTGTGTTCGTGATTTGCTTTCGATCTGTTCAGAGTTTTCGCTCCGCTTGACATTGCGCTGCATTTTTAGGGTCCTTTTTTTTTTCGTTCACTGAATATGTCTAGCGGTGCGAGAAGGCAGCACTCAGCTGCATTTAAACTAGATGTTAAGTTTGCAGAAGCGAACAGGAATATGGCTTCTCCGCACTGCTTTGGTGTATCAGAAAAAAGCGTGTGCTATTGGAGGGTACAGAAAGGGAAGCTGCAGATGTGCGATCTTGGAAAAATGTCGTTTCGTGGACGAAGTGCCGTTCATCCCCAGCTGGAGGATAAGCTAGCGGACTTTGTGCGGGAAGTTCGTGCGCGCTCACTGCCACTGACCGTGGATACCATTCGCAAGAAAGCCGTGGAAATCGCTCGGGAAGTTGGGCTCACGAGAGCAGAGTTTCGTGCACCGAACTCTTGGGTGCGTCGATTTATGCGACGCAAAGGATTTTCTTTCCGGCGGCACACATCCATCTGTCAAAAGTTGCCGGAAGAGTTCAAGGACAAGCTCATAAACTTTCAGCGCTTCGTAAACCGGCTTCGGGAGCAGAACAACTACAAGATTGGGCAGATTGGCAACGCTAATGAGACCCCCGTGTGGTTTGACATGCCTCCGTCGACCACGATCACGCAGCGCGGCGCCAAGGATGTGAAGCTGCTGTCCACTGGCAACGAGCACTCGTGCTTCACCGTCATGCTGGCATGCACGGCAGATGGTAGAAAGCTTCCGCCCTTCGTCATTTTCAAATGCAAGACAATGCCGAAGGAAGTGTTCCCACCCGGTGTTGTCGTTCGCGTCAACAAAAAGGGATATGTGGACGAGGCCATGATGCTCGAATGAATACGAGTGGTGTGGAATCGTCGGCCAGATGCACTGCAGCGTCTTCGCAGCATGCTGGTGTTGGATGCGTTTTGTGGCCACCTGACCGACGCAGTGAAACGCGCACTCGGCGACGGGAAAACGGACCTCGCCGTGATACCGGGTGGCATGATGTCCACCCTCCAGCCGCTCAACGTTGTACTAAACAAGCCGTTCAAAGACCGAGTGCAGCTGGAATACCAAGAGTGTATGTCCAGCGACAACCCCAAGACACCGACGGGCCGCCTACAGAAGCCTCCACTTGCGACTGTTTGTGGCTGGGTGCTTTCCGCCTGGCGCTCCTTGCCGGATTCCATGGTGAAATATTCTTTCAAGAAATGCTGCATCAGCAACTCGCTGGATGACACTGAAGACGGCGGACTGCGGGAGGCGGCTAGCGACAAACTCTCGTCTTCAGAAGACAGTGGTGCTTCGTCGGACGAATAGGAGCAGTTGCGATGGTGGTAGAGGGGAGCTCCAACGATCGGGATGCGGTGCGCCCAATTCGCAAATAAATGTGGTTCGGCAGCTTTGGGTTGTTTTCCTTTTTTTTTCTTTTTCGGTAACCTGAACATGAGGGGTCGACCTATATTCCCACTCGACCTATAGTGCGGTTTATATGATAGGCTTCACAGCAAATACAGGCGGGCAGCGGCCACTGGCGGTCCGCGATTTGTACCATGTGATAAGCCAGTCGTGGCGCTAAAAAAACGCGCAGAAGAGTGATTCTTTTTGTTATTTCTTGCGCTGCATAAGCGATAGAAACTTGTTATTTGTAGAGTGAGGCTCGACTCTTCGACTCATGCGATCAACAATGGCTAGCGGCGGCGCATTATCGGTGGCAAGGTGCTCGAAGACTGCACACTTTCGACCTTTTAACAGGCACCTTGTGCTCTTTAGATGAAATTTTAAAGCATTTCCAGTCAAGTCTTGATTAAGTCTGTATTATGTTTTTCATAACAGTAGAGGTACTAATCTTATCATAACAGGCGAAAATAAAAAATTGGTAATTTTGAAAAAAACTCGCATTTTTCGACCCACATCTCCCCTTAAAATTAACTTCAGCTAAAAAGTTTAAAGGAGCCCTTGACGGTCCTACAATGCAGCCATGGCTGCTAGAAAAGGTAGAAGTTGCATCATCTCGTGGCATCTGTGTAAAAGTAGGACGCCAAAGCCCGGTCGGTTCTGCCACTGGAATATATTCTAGTTCACTATAATGGTTATGGCTCAGGCCACTTAGGATGTGGATTGCATTGAATCTGATGTAACATGGATTGCTGCATTTACTATTTATTCGCATCCCCTCCTGAATTGCACACCTTTTGCATATACTTTTCAGGAAAAAAAAAGAAACTACTATTCGCGTATTCCGTGCACCTTGCACTGAACAATGACTACCGTAATTACTCGTGTAATCCTCACAGTTTTTTTTTGACGGAAAACCCATGCAAAGTTGGGGGGTGCGAGAATTAAGGGGGGAAAACTTTCCACGAAAACATACAGAGCGAGAAAGAAAACGAAGTGGCCGCAAATCGGGATTCTCACACCAGCAACTGACAGCAAGCTTTGAGAAGTACTAATTAAAACTTACCTCAACAATAAAGGCACAGGTTCAACGCAAGGCAAGATTTATTTGAGACACAAAAAGTACGATCAAATAGTCGAGAATTAGAATACCATACGCAAAGCTTGTGGGCGTTACAGGCGTAGCGGTAGCGTTCGTCGCTCAACAGGAGCCCTCAAAAGGTAAGCGTAGGACGTCAGTATTGGGCTGATGGCTGTTCAACAGAATCGGCCGCAGTTTCCTTCTGAAGAAATAATGTTTACCATCAATCCCAGTTTTAGGCACACGGCAGGCCCAACGCGTCTTGGTAGCTTTCAGCTGCCGTCACCAGTAGCGAACACAAAACTCGTAGACTCTGAAGGGCCTACCGGCGGTCCTGTTGCCGTTGTTTAGTGCATGATCTATCACTTTGAACTTGAAAGCAGCCGTGTAGCTTCAGTATCGCCCCATAACGTGACAAGATTACCAACACAACATACAAAACACGCCGCAATGCACACTTTCCACTTTGGCTTGGATTGGATCGAATCTCCCTGCAATAATAGTACGCTTGATGCTTAAGAGATGACGCGCACTATCAGCATCAGTGACTGGAACGAGCAGACGACATTATTGCGGCAGTTTTCGGGAGTGCGATACTTGCTCGAGGAAAAAAAAAGAAATAGTATTTTTGTTGGGCGATGTGGGGGGTGCGAGAATTATGCGAGTGCGAGGATTACGTGAGTAAATACGGTAACAACGTCGCAAGAACCCAGCCTTACTCCATAATTTTCTTTCTTTCATTCTTTTCTTTTTCGCAATGGGCACATGCATGTTGATGTTTTATTTCTCTGGGCTCTGACACTTCGAATTCGACAAAGTCATCAGATGCCTGCAATGAAAGCTAAGGGTACCATTTACAGTGATGATGTTTGGACATGGACTGGCAAGAAGAAATCTGTCAGGGCGCAACAGCTCCTTCGATTCCATAGGTTTATCACAGATGCCAGCGATTTAATTTCGTTTGTGTACTCTTTTCCAATTTATTTCAAATAGAATATCGATGTACAATGAAAAATGGGCGTATTTATCATGACCTTACTAACCTGCACAATATTCATTTTTAATTGAAATAAGACCACTATGCAAGTGCTTTCTTTTTTTTTTCCTGTTGAAAGAAAGTCGAAACAGCTTTGATAAGTGGCAGTATTTGACTTTCAGTAGAGCGCAAGTGATAGCCTGTAAAATACGTAACATTATTAATTACAGTTAGAGTGTACAAGTCAGCAAAATAAGCTTAAGCTTAAAAAAATGATCAATGAATTTGAGAATCATATGTTCATTCAAAGGGTTTTTCAACAGCTTTTCAAGTAGTTATGGAGTGGATTCACTAAAGAAGCTTATTGCCTCATGAAATAACCCCCGCCAAAGCTTTTATAATCTGTCCAGTATGAGTGGAGTTTTGCGATTTGCCACATGCTGCAATTGCTTGCATTCTCTTTTCTTGTACCACAAAAGCACTTAAAGCAAAGCCGGGAGAGATCGCCCGGCGTTCAATATATCCAAGGGCGGGTAAAAATACCGTTCGATATAAACGTGTAAATTTCTATACTTCTACAAAGGAATCTCAAGGGGATAACTTGCGAGTTCAATATACCCGAAAATTCGATATATTTGTGTTCGATATATTTGTGTTTGATATAACCGTGTTCGACTGTATTAGCTTACTGCTTCTGGTCTTACTAATATCAATGTTGCTGTTGGCATTGTTACGCAACTGTAAACAACTGGTTATATCAAACATATGTATAGCTGTTTAATGTATGTCTGTGTGTGAACTTGTACAAATCTGTAGCACCACTTTGCTATTTTTCGTTCAAGAAAACAATTACAACACAGTCACCTTCCCTCCACATGCTTTGCATAGCATCAATTCCCAAAGTACGTAGGACCTGCTGAATTGTTTTATTACTGGCTGTGTAACACACACATGGACAAGAAAGAAATGGACACCATAGGCACCATTGCACCCATGGTGTCCATTTCTTTCTAGTCCGTGTGCGTGTGTTGCACAGCCAGTCAAGAAGCCATACCAATAAGCCCAATCGTCAGGAATGTTGCAGGTAATGTTTCCATATTTGAGGCCTGCAAAGTTTGATAAATATTAAATGTATATACTATGCCCAATTTGACTGTCAAATGAGAATGAAGGTTGTGCTGTGAAGAGGCAAGCAAGATTAACCACCCGTTTCTTGTTCTTGCTGCAAACTTCTGTCAAAGATGTGAAATTAGCAAGCAAGAGCATGATAACTGGCAACATGCTGCAGGAAAGCTGAATGAAGTGACTTTACCAGCGATAAGCCATTGTGTAATAACTCAAGCAGATCAACATTAAGGATTAAAGCAAGCCACTACCAACCATGAGATGGCATTGCTGTCCATCTGCTCTTCCAGATCCTTGCCTTCGTCACCAAGTGCAGACAGCGGATGAAGAGACTGCGGTACAGCAGAACTCACAGCAGACAGCTTCTGGTTGGAAAAAAGAAGACAGTAATCTGAGAAAAGGGAGTTCAACAACCTTTTTTTCATTTTCAGAAGCGCATTGCCACGACAAAGACTGCAAATGCATGACTACGGAAGAAGTGCCCACATTAAATTTGCTGTATGATACTGAGGTATAAGCTTCAGCTATTTAATTTGTACAAATAATAATGAACAACACAAAGGCTTGCACTTAGAAGGCAAGAGAATAGGTGCCTTGTTTTACTGTTCATGCTGTTCAAGCAGTTCATTACGCTAAATGAGATGTTAAACAAGATGGAGCTATTGTACTTCCCCTACAGCTATCATTCATTGCACATCCTATTTTATTGTAACTTTTCTAGGAAGCTTTATGAGTACTTGTGCGTGTACAGAAAAACAGAGTGGCTATACAGAAACAATTTTATAGAAGTTCCTTTTTTGTGTCCTCATGTTTCATGTAATGCATAATAAAATATCACCCATCCAACGTCTTCTCATGGTTGTCCATGAATTTCATATTCTGCACCTCTGACTCTTTGCAGTCATATGCCAAACCATTCCTTATGTACGAAAATAATATGTTCAGATATCTGAAAGCCTTTAAGACATGTACTTGCTTGCACCCACCTAATGCTTTTTTTTTTTTTTTTTTTTTTGCTGATTGCGGTGCTTTGCGGCAGCTTCTGTTTGACCCAAATCAAGCTCAACATATTTCTCTAAACCTTTCACGTGTGTTTTTCAAGTTGAAAACTTTGATCTGATATGAATAATAATTGCAGATTCGATTGCTATTAATCAGTAATTCAGTTAACTACACCTGCTTCACTGTACAATGGCAGCAGTTATACGGAAGCATACACAAAGAAATTCATAAACGATTTTCATGATGTGATTGAAGCACCAGAAGGCAGTGTTCTTCCCATGTGCAGCGTTTAACTAAAGTGATATGCATAGATTTAATGATTATGAAGGCGATTTCAATCTCAAAAAGAAATACATGTCATATTTATTTGCATGAGTGGCAAATATCTTTGTTAGTGAACACTGGATAAGAGTGCAAGAATGAAAACACTGAGAAAATGGTACCTAGGCTAATCGCACATAAGCGCTGCCCTTTGGAAATCACTTCCGAGAAAAAATCTCAGCAATTATGAACATTTTTTCAAAATATATGATTAGCTATATCATTGTTCCCTGCAATGCTCTTATTTTTAAAGGTGATACCTTTCAATTGATACTCGGCACAATCCCTATTGTCTGTTTCTGATGCCCATGTCCATGCAATTAGGCACCTCCCTTCCTTTTGCCATGGATTCCCATAAACTAGGATCCACTTTATGCCACATTCTCAACAAAGAATACTGTTGCACAGCTAGGTGCTGTGCAGCTTTCAGACTTACAGGTGAGAGCAGCTCCTTGCTTGGAGGGTGGCCATACTGGCCTTGACACAAATGACGTTGGAAGAACATCTGTATGTTGGCACCACCATCGGAGGCACGCCGGCCAAAGCCCACGACTGTTGGGAGTTGAGAAAGACAAAACAGCCGCAGAAAATGTCACGTGAAACATCCAAGAGATTCACTGTGCACAATAAACATGGCTCGCTTCATTCGCATCATAGAAATTTTCATTATTAAAATAAACATGCTCTTTGGCAGTTGACTCCCGCCACCAAAAAATTAAGCTTCACGCAATGAAATGATCAGCAGTTAGTGAACAAAGAAAGCTGTAGCCCAGATTACGTATGATTAACCAAGGAACTTGTCATAATGTCATAATGCCCTTCTGGGGATGTTGCCTCCAGATTTTTTTTCTCATAGGCTACTGAAGATCGCTTCCCTGTCTTTATCGACCTGTGATTCCTTCGTATCATAACATCAAATTGCATAATTTATATGCCACGTGAAATGAAATTCAGCATCAATGTACAAGGCTTTCGGGGTACACAAACTATTTCAATATGATTATTGCACTTTTTCAATCTTTTATCTTCGAGAGGCCATTCAGCTAACTGCATTTGACTTGGTTATCATGTTTGGAGCATTTTATAATGTTGTATGATCGCATTAGAATTAACACAATACAATTTCGCTCACCTCTGTTGTAGCACTGAGTTTGTTTTCTATTCTCTTTGATTTGCACATTCTAAACACTGCAGTTACAATGAACAGCACATGATTTCTACATCCTAAACACTACAGCTACAATAGACAGCACACGCAAAGGCTCCTCATTAGTTTTGACCAGTGCTCTTTTAGTATGCAACTGCATCAAAGTTGCACATGCTTAAAGCAGCAGAAACCACAGCGACTGTGTTTTCAAGCTTGAAAGTCACAGTGTGCTTCGAAATCACTGCTTGTACTCTATGCCAGCAGCTAGCACAGCTCTGCTCCAGCTGAGGTTTCTTTGTCATCGTTACTGGTCTCTTCGTTCACCCTGCCTATCCACCACAGCCTACCACAATTGCACAGATTCACTGCTTCTAATTTCACAGCATCACACTTAACAACATTAAGTCACTGTAGCTCCCCAAAAAGTACAGCACAAGATCACTGCAAATTGTAATAGCTTAACATGCCTCCCATGTATATTAGTTGGAGCTATGTTACATTCAGTATTAGGATGCTGTCATTTGCCATTGTAATATACTCAATACAGTTGAACACCTCTACAATGCATGTCTTTGAAATGAAATAGCCTGTATAATGAAAGATTCCTTAAACTGAAAATGAAGCTATACTGAGAGTGTTGCAAGGTGCAACCTCGAACTAACACTCGAAACAAAGTACTATTTCAAATGGCCCAAGCGCTTACTCATACACTTAATTAATTTGATTGCAATAATTACCTTGCCAGTCATTGCATATTTCTACCTGTTAACCAGCTGGGACACCCTCTATAAGCTACAATAATGAAGTCAACAAACATCTTGCGTGCAGTGCAGCTAGACACAATGCAGTGCTGATGTAGTGTAATTACTCACATGCTCCCATGGCAGGTGGTGGCTTGAGCAGGTGCTGGTCCTTCACAGAGAAGTTGTGTGGCGGGTGGTGCTGGACGCGGGGCAGGTTCTGCGGCAGGTTGGTGTGGGGCAGGGCACTGACGGGCATGGCCCCCACAGGTGGCGGAGGGGGGCACTCTCCCTCGGGGGGATCCCCAGGCCCCACCGTGTGCCGCCGGACCACTGCCGGCTGCTGGTGGTCAGGCCACAGCTCCTCACTGTCGGACTCCAATTCGATCTCCCCAAACTGTGAGCAAGCAGAAAAGGGGCAAGAAGAAGCAATTGACAGTAGGCAATCTTAGGGCAAACTGGCACAAGGACAAGAAGGGAGCGTACAACATGTGCGCTAAATATTGCCTAACGTCTTACTAACAAGGCCGAATTTCTCCGCTTGTGAAGCAATTACTTATTTCTATTCCCATCATTACATAGCAACACAGGATACAATAACAGCATTAAATACACCTCTCAGTATATTTGAAATGAGGTGCTAAAGCCACAAGTTGCTTTCCCATGTTCATTCAGATGTAACACTAGGCGAGCGAGATACGATGAACACCTGTTTTACATGTTATACAAATCTATTTTTCATATGCTATTACTAATTGGTTAGTCTTCACGCTTTTTTTAGGGTAGAAAGGGGGGGGGGCACATTTGTGTTGATGCCATGCAAGTACAGTGAAAGCTCGTTAATTCGCACCTAATTAATTCGAAATTTTGGATAATTCGAAATGGTCGCCGCAGTCCGGTCCGCAGTGCATTGGAGACCATGTGTAAAACGATTCGTTAATTCGAACAGAAATTGCTGCCTCTATGGATAATTCGAAGCGTGCGCCGCCGAGCGTCATCATCGTCAAACACTAGTGGAAGCTTTTACGGTCGAACGATAGGTGGCACGACCAGTTTTTTCAAGCATCAAGTGGCCTCCGAGCAAAGGGCGAGCAAAGTATGGCCTCCAAAATCCAGGGAGCAATTTTTTTTTTCGTAGCCCTCCCGCTATCTCAGCGCCTGGCGCCACTTGTACGCGGGACCCATGGGACGCTGAGGAGTCGGCGGAGTAGTCCTAGCAGTCTTAGGCCGCTCCCGGCAGCGTCACTTTGTTCCTCGAGCACGTTGTTTGTTCACGAATGATTTTGTGCGCGGGCGACAGGAAGGACTTCGGCATTACGCTGCTCACTGCCATGCACGCGTTGGTGCGCTTGGGAACAGGTGACCGCGACCACAATCGCAAACTGTTTCCGCCACAGTGGATTTGCAGCTGGAAGTGCGCAGGATAGTTGTGACGTCGACGTGGATGGGGCTGAGGAGCTCATGCCAGTGGCATTGCGCGACACTCTTCGGGGTGTACGTTTTGCCGATTATGTTGAAGTTGACACTGGTGCATCGGTGTGTGGTGCCCTGACTGATGAGGACATTATCGCTCAAGTAGCCGGTGCGCAGCCTGATGCTGAAGAGCCAGAAGGTGAGGAAGACGAAAATGATGAAGCGCCTGTGCGCCCGTCAGCTTCTGCGGTGATGGAGGCACTTAATGTGGCGCGTTTCTTCTTCAGCTTTGAAGAGGGTGAAGAGGATTCCCTGCGCCGCGTCCGCGCGCTGGAACAGAGAGACGCAGCTGTGGCATTCAGAGAAAAGAAGCAGATGGTCATCACCGACTTTTTTGGACAATAAATATTTTTCGTGCCCCACCCCCGAAATCCACCCACTTTTGCTCACTTTCATTATTTCAAATTTTGTTTAATTCGAAATTGCTCAGCGTTCCCGTGGAATTTGAATTAACGAGCTTTTACTGTACACCTAATTTTTTTACTCACGAGACTGAAGGTTTTCACCCTCAAAAATACAAGAAAGTCATGATTCAACCATGTACCTTCTCTAGCGACTGGTCACCACTCAGCATGGGCTGCAGTTCAGGCATGGGGCTCACGGTCAGCACAGGACTTGGCATCAGGTTTGGCTGTGGTTGCTGCTGCGGCTCCGCATCACTTTCAACAGGCTGTGGGTTCTTTTCAACTACGAAACACCCAAAGTTTGCAAAATGGTCAAATGCAGCACAGTAAGCGAATAAGCACCTAAATGTTCACCAGTGGCGGTGTTACAAATATTTACTGCTGTTATTGTGCACATTGCAAAGGCATGTGCTAAAACTAGCAAAAAAAAGACTCCCAGTCATAAAAGAATCTACACTACCCCATGTGGTAAACTTCATGCTATTTCATGCTAAATTTTGTACGAGAGTTGTAAATGGAAATATTTTAGAGCTAAAACGTGCATTGCAGTCTTATCCTTAAGTTAGCGGCCAAAAATCCAGTACAATTTCATGTACTGAAACAGTGGTAGGAAACAATGGTATCATGCAATAGTTCTGTAGCACAGTCTTCCTTTACTGCGGAGCTACAGCCTGAGCATAAATTAGCAACAGTAGATGACTTACATATGTGCATGAGATCAGGAGAATACAATTTAACTTGGTCAGTTGTCTAATTCAGACAACAGCTAACTGTTCATCTATATTCAAGTAAGAGATTGCTGCCATGAAAGAACCACAAAGTTAGGTGACGCGATGGGATTAGGAAATCTGCAGGCTTGATTAGGATGTCAGCCAATGCAAGCCATCTTGATGCAATAGCTCAGGCTGTGTTGAGGGGAGGTGAGAGTCGAAAAATGCAAGTTTTTTAGAAAATTACATAGTTTTCTTTTTGTATGCTTTCATAAGTTTAGTTTGTCTACTTTCAGGATAAACAAAAATACCCTGGAGATTAAAACTAAACACAAAGTAGTGAGTTAATGTAACCTTCAGAGGGCACAAGGCTACTAAAAACTAAGAGCTCATTGTCTAGAGTCCCCTAGAAATTGTCACCTGACTCTTTGCCATTGCATTTCACATGAGGAGTTGACTAAAGCCACATGCTCAAAATAACAATGATTGCCAGGCTGGAAGAAATCTTTTAGAAACTGTATCTTCTCTCCATAGATGAGCTTTCACTTATACCTTAAAAATGCATTTTTCTCAAGATATATTCTTGGGCAACACGTAAGTTGACTTTGAACATCATGTTTTTAGTACTTCTCATACATCAATTGGGATCAAACAGTGGCCACGTATTTCTTAACATGTGAAGAGTGCAAGCACTTTGTTTGAAACTTGATATCACGTGTATAATTATTACGAACTTAGAAAGTATTATGGTTTGACGATTTCAAGAATTTTCACGCGACATTTTTTTTTTTTTTTTGTCCATTAAAAAGTTTTATACGCAGCCCGGCCGCGGTGGTCTAGTGGCTAAGGTACTCGGCTGCTGACCCGCAGGTCGCGGGTTCGATTCCCGGCTGCGGCGGCTGCATTTCCGATGGAGGCGGAAATGTTGTAGGCCCGTGTGCTCACATTTGGGCGCACGTTAAAGAACCCCAGGTGGTCGAAATTTCCGGAGCCCTCCACTACGGCGTCTCTCATAATCATATGGTGGTTTTGGGACGTTAAACCCCACAAATCAATCATCAATCAATGTCTTATTTGCATTTTACAGTTAATTTGGAGCAATATGAACCATTAATGGCTCGGAACCATAAGAGCTTATGTCCAAAACGACCTATAATTTACACTTTGTCATGACACAAAACAACAACTGTGCAACTTACTATGAAACTGAGTGCATATTTTAAATCCTCATAAAAACTTATATATACAGCTGAAATGTCATCGCCCTTGGCCACAGATTAAGGAAACTTTTTTTTTTTTTTTCAGATTACATCTTCCCTTTAGTAAATGCATGTGCATTGTGCCACCATATCCTTCTCGGCCATCGTTCTTTACATAGTTAACTACCAGCCCCAGCTGGAACAGTGCAGAACACAAGGCCAGCTAGAAAAAAATCTAGCTAGCACAAATCCAATTGCTTCTACAAACACACAGCCTTTCTCACCAATGCCTGTAGTGATGCTCGACTTTCTTTGTGGTTGTGATGTGAGTGGAAGGTTCTGGGGCAATAGGGCGTGCTTCTGCTGGTTCTGCAGCTTGTCATAAAGCAGGTGGTAGATGGCGCTGTAGTGGTCGAACCTCTTCTCCAGCACAGACTGAAGCGATATGGTGAATGATGAAGCAGTATAAGGGCCACGGTGTGTATATCACAATGTGGGGAATGAATATTTTGGCAGTGCAGCATGCATGTGTGTACACGCACACACTCAAACAGATAAAGAGATGAAAACAAAGTATGGATAGATGATACAGTGAAAAATTGACCTCCAGGTGTTAAAAACACAAGTAAACTACATGGTGAAAAAAAATCAGATTGTTATGGAATCCACCTTACACAACTGTCTGAGGAAAGTCACTAAAACAACCTTCTTTCGTTTTCTATATTGAACAAAGACAATGAAACTTCACAACAATGTGGAACACATTGCTGTAAAGCTGTAATGCAGTGTGAAATTCAAGCACCACCCACAAACATTTATGTTACTACACAAGAATGATCTTATTTCTCAGGAACGCCCCATATCTGAACACCTCGCATAATGGTGCTGCTAGTCGGGTATCCCACACATAGGTATCCTGAGGTAATCTGTAAGGCTGTTCTATGGCATAAAATTTAACAATGTTAGAAATTAGACGAGAACTTCAACTTTTTTCATGATTGATGGAATCGTGCTGATATGGCTATTGTGAACACCTGACTACTTTGCAGCAAAGGGTGCTGCAAGAAAACTGCATTTTCTGTTGCGCGCTCTTGCGCATGCATATGTCTGTTATATCCATCAAATTGTGCCGTATGTGTACTTGCCACACTTCATGCCCCTGTCATTACAACTTTGGGCATGTGGCAGGTGACACATGCATTACTAGGGAATGTACTTGACTCACTTAATAGTGGATACACAATATCAACACCTTACAGCTGCTAATTCAAAAAAAAGGCTATAGAACCAATAATTGTGTTTTCAGGACAAGAAAAGCATGGTGTGAGTGTGCCTCACATGTCAATTTTATTTTTTATTTCTTTATTACTGTTGCACTGCTCTTTCTTAACTGCTTTCTTGCTTGGCAGTGCAGCACTTCAGCTTCTGCACACAACAATGGCCATGCTTCATATACAGACAGCAATGAAATGTGGCAATATGAAATGTGAGGTAAGCTCAATAAAAGATCAGCTGGACACATCCAAAATGACTCATCATTGACAAGCCCACGATTGAGATAACATCAATTATTGGAAATTTGCACATATAAATACGCAAGTGACTAGCGCACCTGGGAGGGCCACATTTCATTGTGTTTGCGGGCTTCGAGTTTCATTATTTTTCCCCCCAATACGACACCACTGAAATCTTTTAGCTATAACAAGCTTCGCTTGAAAAAAACAAGAGTGCTGCAGCAGCCATGACGACATACCTGTTCGATCTGTTCCTGCGTGACATTTGGCAGCTGAAGCATGTGCTGCACAACTACAGGGTCGAGCTTTTCATGGGTGGTGGGTGTGGCTGCCGGTATTTCCATGAGGCGGTCGAATTCGGGGTACGGTGTGCCCATGCGCATCCACCGATGGTGCACCACCTGCCGAATGGACCACCGCTTGTCGGGGTCCACCACCAACATCTGGCGAATGAGCTGCTCACACTCTGCGAGCAAAAGGCGACTACCATTAAGATCTGGCACACACAGGCTGCCAGGTGCTAACGGCTCTGTATGCCAAACAAAGATGCGATGCAATTATCATTGAAAATTTTCTACAGCAGTAAAGCTTGATATAACAAACATAGCTACAGCGAATCACTAAATATTATCATGGCAATACATTGCAAAATACTCAAGTAGATTGCTAATTTGGTAAGCTGGGGTTTATTTGAATGAAAAACTGATTGCTTTAATATAACTTAAATAGCAAGTCCAAGACTCCACTGGTTACAGCAAAGCACTTGCTTGCTTAACTGTCATTCAGAGTATGCATTTTGGCAGCAAACACAACACTTGAAATGACATCTTCTAAATAGGCATATATGATTTTGTTATTGGAACAGCTTGGCTGCATAGCTTGCAGCCAGCAAGACAACATGCCAGTAGTATTGAAGTGTGTTACAGAAAATGTGACTAACACTCCCACTTTTGTATGTGCTTAAATGCCCAATCCAAGTAGACGAGAGGACGACCACTGACAATCGGTAGAGCATCGGGCACATTATGTGGAGGTTGCAGGTTCTGCCCCTGCTGGTCGCGAGTTGTCTTTTTCCTAAGTAAACTTCTTCACATACCTACCAGAATTGCTAAAATACAGAAAAAAAGTAATTAATAATTCCCTACACCTTGCTTAACTTCATTATCTGTTGGTTTTCATTAATGTTCTATCTACAAAGAAACAAGCACTGACATTCTTTTCTTTAGCTGCCTTAGTTGATATCTTAGAAGAATATACATCAAGCTTTAGTTAGTGTTTCTCATTTAGCTAGGACCTATGCTACTACATAATCACTATGCCTGTTTTGTCACTGCATCACTGTAAGTGAGCTTGTATTGTTGCCAATAAAGATACACAAAAAAATTTGTTGCAGTACAAGACTGGTATCGCGACGCTTACATGCCACGTGAAATCATCCAGTTAATGTTCTGACCGGCGCCAGGGTTGAAGAGGGAGTGGTATTCTTTCTTCATCAAAGAAGTCACCTAAGGGCTGCTGGCCTGATGTTCATCGTGTATTGTCTTTACTAGCCAGAAAGCGAGGCGCCATGCCGTAACATGCCATAAACAGTTCCTCAAGAAGACCACAATGGTTTCCACGCAACATCTTCCTTGGAAAAGACAGCGGCATCAGTCCCGATGACGACTCGCCCCGCTAATTCAGCGAGTTGCCATGTTGTCGCTAATTGAGCGAGCAGTTCGGCAGACCCTTTTGAACTTTGTTGTGGCAGTACCTTTTGATGGACCCTGTCGTCTGAGAGTAGAACCCCTCACCCAGCAACACTCTCACAACAAAGAGCAGCCACGTTGGTGCCATGTTGCAGTAACCTTGCCCTAATAGGGGACGTTTACCTGGGTGGATGTGGGCGTCACCCTCGCAAGTTGTGTGTGACATGTGATTGGACAGTGCAATCTGCACTCATTTCCCGATGTAAGGATCTGGAGAAAATGTACCTTTTATAACGATCCAACTAGCTTATTAAAAAGTGCTCGTCATGTACAGAATAAAAATAAATGCTCTCTTAAGATCAACTTCCTCCAGTCTCTCCACCCTTCCCCCGGAGTCGCCAGTGCCCCAAAAGCCGATCGCAGCAGTAATTGATTGCAGCATGCAGAAACATTGGTGCATACGGCTAAAGGCATAACATACCTGTTGTCATGAAGTAAGGTACCCTAAATTTTCCTGAGAGAACACTCGTCCGTAGACTTTGCAGAGTTTTGCCATCAAATGGAAGGGCACCACACACAAGAACATACAGGACCACTCCCATGCTCTGTGGGCAAAGAAGATAAGCAAGGCAAAACTGCAGGAGCGGCATCAACCAACAAGTGCCAACAGCAGTGCACATAGAGCAGGCAAACACAATGGTACAAAAGAATAAATCATATCTTAACTAAGACCCTGCATGTAATTAATAAGGAATTTGCAATAAAGCATGGGGTCTCTCGTTAATATAAGGACAATGGTTCAGTAAATATGGTTTTTCAAATTTCACTAGACTGAAACAAAATGTGTGGATTAACTGAATGCCAAAATAGTGATAGTAACAAGAAATCAATACAGAAAGATATTTGTTAAATCAATACACTTTCAAGTTCTCGATGAATACGTAAATGTTCTATTTATTTTGCATAATAGCAGTGAGCCGTACTTTTCCTCATCCTGTGAATTCATTCTCAATGCCACCATGGGCACTAGAGGGTTAAATTTGCCTAAAATGCGCTCTGCATCTAATCCTGATTACATACTACCAAAACAAATACAATCACGTCACGATAGTTATTTTACACGTAAATTGGCTGGCATCGCATAGTTCATCCACGGTGATGTAGCAAACGAGCTTCATGTCAGCATGCCATGTCAGCGGCTGAAAGCTCTCCATCTTTTCAACAGCTTCAGCCATGTTCGAGTTTTGTGACATTATGCAGGCATTGCATCAAGTTAAAACAAAGCTGCTGTGAGTGCTCGATCCCCATGTGGACAAAATCTTGGTCCCCAATAAAAGCCTGGTCACTTAATCACCAAATATACGGTGGTTGAATTAACAAGCTTTTACTGTATTCTATAAAATGGTACATGTGGACAAGAAATTCTGGGTCCGTAACAAGAACTGAAAAATTTAATTGAGGATATATTATGGTACAACTTGCTTTCACGCACTTATCTAACATTACCTAATGCTCAAAGGAATGCAATCTTTATAATAATCTCATGATGTCAGCTGTAAAAACGTAAAGAATAATAAGTGCCCTGCTGACTTTGTCATAAAGGCTTCTTTGTGTAAACAAAATGCTGTGTCCTGATCAGTCTCGCAATTAAACATGGCCCTACACTGAAACCTCATTATAACAAAGTCGTATATTACACAAAAAATAAGTTTGTTATATCTTAAAAGTTCTTGCAGAGGTTTGTTCCTCAAGCTATATCTACTGCAATATTTATCTTTCAATAACTTTGTTACAACCAGTATTTCATTATATCCGTGTTTGTTATATTGAGGGTTGAGTGAATGTGCATTTTGGAGACGCATATTTTTATAGGCATTAAATCGCAGAACATAGTGATTATAGAATTAAAACACTAAAGACTGACAACTTATGCATCAGTTGCAGTTAGTCATTACCAACAGGAAGGACCATAAAAAAATATTTGGGGGCGCTTGAGCTTCATCTTATTATTTGCAATACTGCCAGTCTCTAGTGAGACAATAGCAGGTGTGCACGCACACTGTACAGATGCTGTAATAGCTCATCATAGTAAAAATCAGCAATACAGAAACAAGAGTAACATCAACTTGGCACTTTGTACATGAGCAATATTTACACAACATAATATATAAATAAAATACAAGTGCACACAAAATGGGAAGTTTAACAATAAGGCTGTTTCCATGGCTACTCACAGAACATACAAGTAGTACATACAGGTTTCATTACTCATGTTATTGGCTATTTAAAGAAGCTAAGAATTTTTTTTCTATTTCTGACTCAAACCAAAAGAATGACTCAGTGTTAGTGATGTTAGGCACCAACATGTCCCACTCACGGATGGCAACTGAAAAAAAAAAGTAAATCTTAAAGAGTAGATCGCGATAGCGCAATCGGGAATCGTGCACGTCACCTACTGAACAGTTGACCTGCTTCAGTTCTCGGTGCTTGGCTCGACTGTGCCGCAAGGAAACTAATGACTGTGTGTGCAACTTTGACCATTTCGAGGTATCATTGAATGCCTATTGCAAGTGCAGTTGTTAAGTGCCCACCAATTATTTCTTTTGGGAATCAGCGAAGGGCCCACTACACACCCGTAGGGCAAGACCTGAATCTATGCAGCTGTTCAGTTGATGGTCCTGCTGGTTATGATGATTAAATATGTCTGAGCGCTTAGTAATGATGCACCTTTAATACAACCCCTCATTGCTCGATTCACATCTTTTGATGCCTGGTGTAATTCTATGCTTTTGCCATGCAATATGTAAGGTGCTAAAAAGACACGTGTCAAGTACATGACATTCATATATGTAGCATTTTTTTTTTCAAAAAACTTCCAAAAATTTCTTGGTTCTGCAGTAGAACATCTGCTTGTCATGCACATGGCCTGGGTTCTATACTCACTCGAACCCATATACTTTTATTATTGATTTTATGTGCATCTTTATCAATTTTTCAATCACTGACAAGATGATTTTTCACTCACAACCAGTGACACCGACGCCAATGCCAGAAACTCTGCAGCACAAGCTCTTTACCGCTCCCGTGTTAAAAGCTGGAGTAAGTTACAACATAAAGATAAATACGACCTCCAGCCAAATCGATTACTGTCATCCTGGGAGAAATTTCGCGTAGATATTCCATCCTGTCACATTTGCTCATTTCTCTCATGTCGAGCACTTTACACAGTTTTCATGCCGTCAGTGTTCCCATACAGACACACCCACATGTTGCTTGTTTTAAGTCCTGACAAATGTCATGCAAGATTCTGGTGTCACTGCTTAGCAAGAGGTCATATTTTAGGTAGAAACAATGAGCCTTTAGTTTCAGATATGCGTGGCATTCCCATTAGCCCTGGAAAAATATTTATGATTCGACAGGAAACCAACCTGCATTACTCTCTTAGATAGGCAGCTGACAAGTGCATCACAGTTATATGTTTAGAGCTTGCATTTCTTTTTAAGTTTAACTGCCTATAGAAGCACTCAAATGAAAAGAAAGATCATTCCCGAAGATGCCATGCATACCAAAGTGTTCAGCACCATCCTAAAGCAGATATTGTAGGTCACCCCTTGGGTCACCATTTTTTCCAATATCAAGCTTTTCTATACGAGACTCACCCAAATGTCAGCCTTGGGCCCATCATATTGTTTCCCTTCAAAAAGCTCGGGGGCTGCATAGGGGGGACTGCCACACCATGTTGACAGCTTCTTACCCGGTTCAAAGTGATTGCTGAAGCCAAAGTCTGAAATCATTAAAGAATGCATAGCTGTAGTTCCTGCACTACTGTACACGAAGTAACAGGAAAAGTTCTATATGATGCTAACTTAAGGCAGTTCAGAAGAAAATAAAATAACATTAATATGTGAAAGCACCGAGATCGAGGTGTGCCCGCGAAATCGAAAACATACATCTTACAGAAAAACTTCCGGAATATTAAAATTTAATGCAAGCCATAATATGCTAAATTAACAATGTTACAAAGAAAAAAGCTGCAGTTAAAGCTTTCAATATCTGAGTAGCTACATAATATTGGAATAGATATAGAGCTTACATGCCCAAGGAGCAAATCATGTCTCTAAGGATGAAGGAATATATAGCAGTCGTCAAAATTTTAGACACCACAGGAGTGCATAGAAAACAGCTTCGTTGCACCTTCAGACAGATGGCAGCTTCCGAAGCTAGAGAATGTGGAATGCGTCGCGCCCGTGTTTTTTATTTTTATTTTTTTAAAACTGTCAGCCTGTTCATTCATCTTCTTCAAGTATGTGCACTCTGAAACTGCTGATCAAGCATAAGGTGCCAGCTGTGCAATAGCTGAGAAAGTTACATGGGATACTTAACAAGGTGGACCTCTTGCTGAATTACTATTAATCACAAATATATTTAATAACTAGCACAGATCTTTATTTAGAATTGTTAACGGTACTAGTACTGGAAGTTTATAGAAGAAAATTTGCAAAAAAGCTGGACATTTCCACATGAAGCAATTCAGCTGCTTACATCAGACAATTCAGCTGACAAAATGCCACTTCACTGGCTGCAAGCACAAGCCTCTTAGAAATGAGCTCCCTGGTGGAAACCACGCTTTATTTGTTCTGTACATTTGGCTACATTAGGCTCTTAGGTTCTGTAAATATCAATGCTCCCAATGCATGTTTACCACAATGCTTAAGATGCAAACAAAGAAACTGTGTGCACCCACCTGCAATCTTGATGTTCATCTCGCTGTCAAGAAGAAGGTTCTCAGCTTTCAGGTCTCTATGTACAACATGCCTCTCGTGGCAGTAATGGACAGCACTGACTATTTGCTTGAACTTCCGCCGAGCAATATCCTCCGGCATGGGACCAGTGGCCACCAAGTAGTCTGTCATATAGACATCAGCATTACGCTCAGTCACCAACAAAGCAACTATTGAACAGAGGCGCCTTCTAACAACATCGATTAATACTCTGAGAAATCGACACGTGTGCTGCAGGACCTAGGCAGAATTTGCAAACGAACCAAGTGTTCATATAATGTCCCGACAAGTGAAGGCAAATGCACAAGGGGGAATCAGAAAGTTAGGCATGCAGACAAGATTAAGAAGTCTGCTGTGACAATGTGTCTACAGTAAGCACAGGAGTGGCTTAATTGGATAAACCCAAATAAAAGGTTTTTGCCCTACAGTGGGCAAACTCAGTTTACTAAAGCTACTGTGCAATGCCCTTGCACCGCTGATGAACAAACCTCAATTCCTAAGAACATTCATCACGTTTCCAGAAATTGGATTACCTAGCTAAACTGTAGCCACAATGCCACAGACAACATTACTGTATGATGAACTTTTGAATGCAATATAATTACCGACATTGAACCCTGCAGTTCACTTCGGTTAAGATATATATATAAGTTTTGTCAGACATACAGTAGTCTGCCAAAATATGCTATGAAAAAGGCATGACAAATACAGGTGATAGCTGCCACTTACCAAATATTTCACCTTTGTCTGCATATTCTGTGACTAAATATATCATTTTCTCTGTTTCCATTACCTGCAAAGGTACAAAAAGTCCACGTGGCTTTATGTGTATCAAAATAAATAGCGGGATGGTCAACTGTCAAAATAACATTATAAGTATTTTCTTAAATTCAGGATAATAAACTCATGAGTAGCTATGCAACGTTTTTCACCCATAAACAGCAGTGCAACTTGTTAATTTAAGTATAGCTCATTTTCACAGGCAATAATGTGGCCTGCTATGAGTAATATGTTGTAATAACTGTGAAAAAACCTCATGCAAAGGAAGTAAGTTCTTATTTATATATACAAACACGTATACCTCTATTTTTACAGCACCCCGTGTTCCAGTTAAATTTCTTGTTCACTGCGACTAGGAGCCATCAAGGCTACACGATCAAAACATGGTAACTCTCCATCGGCTAAAGCATTGACAGTAATGTCCCTCTTACCTGATATAGCCTAATGATATGGGGGTGATGTAAAAGCTTCATGATCTGGACCTCTCTGAATATCTTCTTTAGGTTCTCCTCATCTAGATGTGTCTTGTCTATAATCTTTATGGCTACCTGCAACGACAAAAAAGAACAAAATATACAAAAATGACAAGAGGTAGGCGACGTGGACATTTGTAAAATGCACTTGGAAATGAACATCAACTGTTTGTAAAGGTGGCAGTGTCATCCTGAGTGTATTTGTATGAGGTCATAAACCTGCATTTTCATAGAAGAAAAGCTCTGCCAGTGTCAAGAGAGGGCCTGTATTTTGAGTAGTATTACGAATGCTGTCTGGTTCCTGTCAATTATATTTCAAGACTGTTAATTGAAAGCAATCACACACTAACAAAACACAAGAGTACAGCTCACATAGACAGTGAGGGGTGTCAAGCAATAAAAAGCTTTGAGAGTAAGCTTCACAATCTTTTACATATTGACACATAGTCAATGGAATTGATTCTAAGCATACAGGACCTTTTGTACATGAGAGCGATTGTTTCAAGCAGGACTTCGCATCACCATCCTAAAGAGACACTAAAGTCAACAATTTATGTCAAAGTGAAAGCTCAATGTATGACGTCTAAAACGACAATAATATCAACAGCAGTGCCCTCCTTACATGAGAAATTAGTGTAAATGCACAGGAACACATGAGCTGCGGGTAGGACATTGTCAAAATGATCATGATGACATCAGAGTAAGTGTCTACAATTAATCATTAGTAATCGAACTGGCTGCACTAAATAAAGAACTTCAGGCGCATAAAGTGCTGCTTGCTCGTTTCTGTTTGATTCATGGATAAGATAACCACTGGACGTTATTATGGGGAATGAAGCGAGTGGTTCAAAAGTTCAACTTTAGCCTGGTTAAACTCGACAGGTCGCGCCATCTAGCGGGGCCCAGTTTAACCAAAACACGTCTGCCATCTCGGGGCCAATGGCAGGAAATTAATCAATGGCCGTTGTTGCTGCTGTGGCTCCCGCTGTTTTCGTGCTGCTGCTACTAGTGTCAGCGGCCGCGCAGTACAGCCGGGCAACGTTGTGCACGGCAACATTGTGCACGGCAACAGTGACGTGAGACGGACCGATTTCAGGCAGTGCACTAACACGACGAGGACCCTTATACGTAATTTTATTTCAAAATAAGCACTTCCTTGGCACAAAAGTAGCACTACGAGATTTCTGAACCGCTATTTCAGCAATCCACATCGACTTAATATTTGTCTTTAGTGTACCTTTAAATATAAACTTTATGGTACCCCAAAGCTGTTGCAAATTAAACCTGCGCGTCTAGTATGGCTGCCGCAAATGCTTCTCAACACAAAAGAAAGAAGAACATGCACACACCTACTCCACTCTCCTAACAACTCGTACTTGCACTGCGTTCAGATCGTAGAATAAGAGGGGGTGGAAAAATTAAGCAGCGCGCAGGAAATCCCACAGGACCTTGCTTTCAACACCGCCCAGTGCTCAAATACACGCGTTGAAAACGTGCCCGTAGCTGCACGCACGTCATGCCTTCGGGAACACATCGCATTGTGCAAGCCATGCGGCGGAACTGACAGCCCAAGTTCCTTCTACGCACGCACCTGTGCTGACAAACAGAACAATGACAGCTGTGCATGAGCCCAAAAATTCGTAGCTCGGCGCACCTCTCCGAAGAATGGCTTCAGGTAAACCCTCTCTGTTACGCACGGTATACAATGGCGCGGAAATTCAAACCCACCCGCTTAGAAGCGTAGCCAGAAATTTTTAGAGAGAAAGGGGGGAGTGTTCAACCATACTATGTGTGAGTTCATGCATGCGTTTGTATGTGTGTAAGTACACATGCAAATTAAAACTTTCTGGGGGGTTAAATTGAACCCCCCTACCCCCCCCCCCCCCCTTACCACGGCTACGCCATTGCTGCCCGTGGCGCCATACAGGCAGAAGGGGTCAAATAGGATAGCTAAACTAAACGTAACTGGTTGTAAAGCGCTCATACTGTTTACTCGACGTCCCGGGAGTTTCATCACTCAGAAGCACGTGTTGAAGGTCGCCGCGTCTTAATCCATACCTTCCGTGCCAAGGCGAAGGCCTCACTGATGACCCACGTGCGTCCTTCAAAGTAAGTCCGCGCGTGGTTCTCACATCTAACTCAGGCGCGCTCCATAAAACGCCTCGAGTCGTTCTCTGCCCATCAAACTTGTCAGAGGCGAAGAGTCGTTTTATGGCTTCGTGTTTACAACCGTAATGAGAGAGATAGCGTGAGCAGTCAAGCCCGCGTTGAGAAAATTAAATGATCACGAACAAGTCTTCCATATTTCCGCATTCGAAGGCGCTCACTTTTATTTAGATCCAACCGCGGATCGCCCGAAGCCATACTTTTTTCAGAAACATTTCGTTCGGGGCTTCAGCTTATCACACAGAGCGGGCGCGCTAATACGACACTCACCCTATAGATAGACACGCAAAATGGGAAAGACCGCGAACTTTTTCTGGAATTTCATAAACGGTGCCGAGACCCACCTAATTTGAGAAGGAAACCACGCGCCGATATAACGGAAGAACCCTGCCGGCGGTTCCGTCTCTCCCGACCTTTACCTCTCATTTACGCCATATGGGGGCTTCAATTTACACGCGACACCCTCTCGGAGCTAGAATTCGCTCGAATTTCTCGCTGATTGGTCGGGGTTTAACGGAACAGTCCAACCAGCGAAGCCGACGTGGCGCCGCCCGCAGCGAATCCAGAGACGAGCTCGTTACATTGGGACCACGTGGTTGACTGATACCAAAACGATTCTCGGTTCTCTCAGCGGCAGCGCCGCATGACCGAAGGTCGAACAGGCAAAAAAGGTCAACTGCGAAGCCCCAGGCGAGGAAGCCCCGCGCGAACGCGCCCATGGATGGCTTGGCGTGCTCCGAGTCACAACACACCAACAGCGACCGACGCACTCAAGTCTTTGTCCACCTGCGGGGCAAGGTTGCACCGAAGGGGCTTCTGTCTCCTTCCGCGACCTCGCGGGCGCCGATGGCGGAAGGCGAAAGAGCGAGAAATCGCCTGCAGTCAATATAACCCAGCTCTGATGTACTTCCGTTTTAAAGACACTTGTCCTATTTTTTTTAATTGCGTTTTGACGAACGAAACTTCACTTGCTGGAAAGTCAACTCCGGGGACATTCATCGAGCAATGATTTCTCGCACGAAAGTTTTTCACTTTGTACACAGATATATGCACGCACACACACATAGGTGTGCGCACTATGGCGGCAGGAGGGGCGGCCCCCTGGTCACCAAAAGAGGGAGAGGCGAAATTCGCTCCATACATCGACGATTGACGTAATGGGGTGTGGGGTGGTAATGCACAATCACCCTCCCTGATGGGTCGCACGCCTATATACGTTCACACTTACAGACACAAGCACGATTATGCACAAAAAGGCGTCAGAAGCCCCGCACCGAATTATTGGCTACGGCCTTGATCGTCCCATTTTATAGACTCAAACGAAACGTGCATTCGCACGAGATGATTGGGATGACTGCTAATGACCTTCCACTGTTCACAACAGACTCACGGTCTGTGTATTGCCGTCTCATTCTTGGCCCACCCCTGTTAGCGAGAACGCCTCATGCATGCGGTTCACAATCATCATCACCGACACGTGCGCGCTCAACGAACAAGGCCGTTCGGAACAAGCAAGAGTCTAAATAGAAACACCGAACGAAAATAACGTTGCCGTGCCGCCAGTCAAGCAGACTGACGAGACGTCCAAGAAACATGAAAGCACTATAAACGTACATCGCGCAGGATCGAATTTCTCCGGAGTCCAAGATTGCGCAGAGCCTGTGAGCACATATTTTTCAATACATAACTGTGTGCGTCAGATCAAGACTGAAAGAGCATGCAGGACGTTCAGCATGGAACCTCGTTCAGCATGTTGAGGAACGGTCGCTACGTTTTAGAGGTTGCGGTGTGCGCGCCTTTCCCAGTCAGCGCTTCCTATACACCACGAAGGCTCCGCGTCAAAACGTATAGAGAGCTGCGTTAGGACGCCGAAAACTAGGCAGAGCCATGATCTCTTCTTGGCACGGAACTTCTAGATAGCCGAGTACAGCCTGCAGCGCAGCAGGAATTACCAGTGTTGGAGAAGAGGGTCATGGACCACTAATATAAATCATAATGTTGAACGAGGATCAATTTGGCCTAAACGTTCGGCGTTGAAACAGAAGTCGAACAGACATATCACGAACCACCCTGTTGCCTACACATCTTGGGAAAAGATGCACCTCTGCTGCCTAACTCTGCAGGTGTGACTTTAACTACACGTACCTAACGAACTGTCGCGAGCGAGAGAGATGTGACGTAAAGCTAGAGTTTCGCTTGTTCCCTCGACACTTCTAGAAGCGACGCAGCGAGCACAGCAGCGTCCCTGGAATGGAAGCCTCTGCTCCGGAAACCAGCAAGAGCAGAGCGGATGACGGCAGCACGATGCAGAGAAGCAAGATTTCCAAAGGTGAACGCGTCATTCAAGCCTTCAATGTATACCCAAAACAGCGGAGTTAGACGTATCACCAATTTCACCCCGTCGTTACGAGACTTGTAAAATATTTAAAGAGAGAGAGAGAGAGAGAGAGAACCAAAAACTCATTATTTGTGTATAGCAAGTGAAACACAAACGACATCACCCGGTGTCCCCCCCCCCTTTTTTTTTCCTTAATAGATACATGTTTCATTGATTGATATGTGGGGTTTAACGTTCCTAAAACCACCATATGATTATGAAGACGCCGTAGTGGAGGGCTCCGGAAATTTCGACCACCTGGGGTTCTTTAACGTGCACCCAAAACTGAGTACACGGGCCTACAACATTTCCGCTTCCATCGAAAATGCAGCCGCCGAAGCCGGGATTGGATCCTGCGACCTGCGGGTCAGCAGCTGAGTACCTTAAGGCTGGTGCACACCGGCGACTAGCAGCGGTCGCGCGACCATTCGCGACTGGCGACCAAAAAGCGACTGATGTTCACACCGACAGAGGCTGCATGTAGAGTGCCTAGAATATTTCCCCTAGTGTCGTGAACGGGCCGGCCGAGGGG